AAAGGCAGGAAATGCATTGATTCTTTTTTTTTTTCTTTTTTGAAATAAGTAAAAGTCTAGAAATACTCTTTTTTCGGTACTTATAAACTTGAAAATATACTTACGCATATGACAACCTAATCAAAGAGAATGTAATTCAGTATTATATATAGTTTCTTACAGTTCCCTCTCCCCAGATGTTCTGAAATAATAGGCATACTTGAAGTGATGTTTGAATTTATAAGTAATTGGAACTGAACTCTTCATTTTTTTACATAACACTCGACAACTAACATTAAGATCTATAATTTTTACAGGAAATTAACAATTATTTGTTTGTTTGTGCCCACAAGTTAGAAATAATTTATTATTATTATCCCAATTTAGAATCTCTGAGAATTGTGATATTAAAGATCCGATAATTAGTTCAATGAAGTTCGATTGATATATAAAACTTCAGTTGTCCAACATTTTGAGGACAGTGTATCAAACTGTTATAAAATAGTCCCTAATGGATCATTGGTAAGTCTGAGGACTTAACAAACAAAGCATACAAAATGCTATTATCTTATATCTTGATTTTTTAACGGTTTAGGGCAAAGAAAATGGTACTGATAGGTTAATAACAAACGTATTCTCTATAGTCGATCGCATGTTGCCTGAAGCCATCTTGAACAGTCAATTTTGATAACTCTGTATGAACATTCATGTTTGTTTTCTTTCACATAGATACCTTACCATTTACTCGTCAATGAAACATTTAATAACAGGAACGTTTCGATTTTTCATGGAAGCTAGAAGCAGTTAATCAAACTATAATGATTTGTTATATATATTAAGCGTTAAAGTGCTTGTGGTAAGTATATAGGAACTATTAATTGCAAATGCTTCTTTTAGGTCATTGAAGAAAGTGCCCCCATCCGGTATGCCGATAGTTTTTGAAAAATTCATTCATGTGAAGAAATTAATTGGCATTGAAAGATATGCAAGAACCAAAAGTTTCACAAGGATCTTGCTGCCGCATTTTCTTCCCCCCTCCACCTAACCTTTGCCTTTATTAATAAAAACCTACAATATTTCTGGTTGTTTAATTCGATTGTTTAGAACAGGGTTTAAAATATGAAACGTTTTGTCAGCTTTTATTATTATTTTTTTGTTATTCATCGACTAATGTTGTGTTCTGTATGGATGTATGAGTAGGCTGGTAGTCGATAATAGTTAAACGATTATGTTTACAATCACTTGTTTTCTACTTCTTCAATATCATGATATCAACTTTCTTGTGACTCTTTTAGCATCAGTGGTCTGGCATGGCCAGGTGGTTAGGGCGTTCGACTAGCAATATGAGTGTCGCGGGCTGGAATCCGCATCCTAACAAACATTATCGCCCCTTCAACAGTGGGGGCGTTATTATATGACGGTCAATCCCATCATGCGTTGGAAAAAAGAGCAGCCCAAGAACTGGCGGTGGATGGTGAAGACTAGCTGCCTTCCCTCTAGTATTTCACTGCTAAATTAGGGACGGCTAGCGCAGATAACCCTCGTGTAGCTATGCGCGAAATTAAAAAAAAAACAACCAATAAACAAACAAATTTTTAGGATCAATCTTTTACCTCGCCTTCAACCAGTCATCCTACCTAGTTAATTTTTTTTTGGGGGGACAGGTTCTTTAGTGCTAAAAATCTGTTTTAGCGATAATCGTCTACATGCATCTTCTCGAGATTTTATAATTAAGTTTCTAAAGTTCTTTCTTTACGAATAACGAATTCAATATAATCTTAACATTATAACTTGAAAACTCGGATGTGAAATGTTACTTTGGTTCTCAGACTGCTTTCTAATGCTCCATTGTTACAGCAACAATCTCGTTATTCTTTCTATTAATAACCTATTTGCTAGAATTCTTGACTTACATAAAACTAATTCAGTTTCCTATACTTCTGTAATATTGGTCAGGGATACTGGTACAGGAGTGTGCGACAAGATGATCGTAACACTTTAACGCTTAATTCCAATAGCATGCAGTAAGGTCACGTGATACTCTCTTTTTTTCTAAACAGTATAATAATCAAGTCACGTGATACTCTCTTTTTTTTTCTAAACAGTATAATAATCAAGTTACGTGATACTTTCTTTGTTTCTAAACAATATAATAGCCATTGTTGCAGTATTGTTCTAGAAAGCATTAGAATGGTATGCTCACGCTAGAGCTCTCCTACCAATGCTGAGATATTCCGCAGGCCATACAACTGAATACTTCACAATTAATTCATTTAATTATAGCTTTCTGGTAAACTTCTTGTCAACAGTTAATTCCTTTATATTATATACTAAATTTGAAAAAACAACAAGCGCTACGAATACTAGATACTATTTGATCGAATATAACTCCTAGTGATTTTGAAGTTTCGCTACTGAAGTGGCGAGTTGAATTAGTGAGATGTGATAATATTTGACCTTTTATTTTAGCCATTATACGTTCGCTGGATATTGTAGCCAGTAAAAACAGGTTTTCGACAAGCCACTTGAGAACTGATGAAGACTTCCAGCGATAGAAACTTTCTCTTACACTCACAGCTCTTTACGCCACTTGGCAATAGTTTTTCCACTTATTACTGATCCAAATGTATCAATTGGCCTAGTGTTCAAGCAGCTGAGTACATGTGGTTCTCCAGTAACATAATATTTGCTAGGTAATAACTAGATCCTTTTGTACTTCCCTGAAATTACTGAATGTTATTAAACCAAAATTACTACTTCTGTAACATGTTTTCTTACTAAATTCTTATAGCTTGATAATAATTATAAAGAGCACCACAGAAAAAAAACAACAACCCAAAAACATAAAAAATGATTATTAATATTTTTGTTCTATCTTGTAGGGATTTTCCTTGGCCTGGTTGGCTTCAGTGTTGAATGTCTTGTAGGGATTTTCTTGGCCTGGTTGTCTTCAGTGTTGAATGTCTTGTAGGGATTTTCTTGGCCTGGTTGTCTTCAGTGTTGAATGCATGCATTACAGTTTTATTCTAGTTTTATGAGTTAACGTATCTTTATGTTTCTTCTTCGGTATCATTGTTTCTTTACCTTTCCCAGCACTGTTCTTCAAGACGCTGAAACGTTAAGAAACCATGGAACTGGTGAAGTGACGTTCTATCTGTCAGTGACGGAGTCTCCTTTTATAAAGATATTTTATAGTGTTTACACATGTGAATCTTTTGTGTGTTGAGAATGATAGGCTAACAGTCACTTATACGCTCATGATCGTTTTTGGATAACTATTTTTTTTTTCACTTCTTAGTTGAAAGAAGGCATAGACAGAGAAGTAGAGAATACTTGAAAAGCTTTGTTAATGAGCTCTTATATATCGAAGAAGTTCATGATGACGTTTCGAGCTACTAGCGAAGATATTCTTCAAGAGCTGATGAAAATCTGTGCTAGCAGCTCGAAACGTCATCCAAAACTTCCTAGACAGATGTAGTCCATTAATTAACAACGCTTTTCCACATTTTTCAAATTTATTAATCTAATCGCAGATGTTCAAGCAAGCACAGCATTTAAATTTACATAGGTGTGAGCTTACTGTAACATAATGTGGTTAAATATAATATGCACCAGATTGAAAAATAGTGGAAAGACTTTGTTAATGAGGCTACATCTGTCTAGAAAGTTTGGACGGCGTTTCGAGCTGCTAGCACAAATCTTCAACAATGCCTTTCCGCTATTTCTAAATTTATTACTATGTTCTCTAAGTATATTTAACCACATTATGTTATATACAGTAAGCTTAAGATCTCTGTAGACTTAAATTCTGAAGCTGTTTGAACATCTGAGATTACACCGAACGAACTCTATCGAAGCATACTAGAGTTATTTATGAACAACCTATGTGGGTAGGTCACGCAAGTCTCTTTAAGGTTGGCACCCTATCTAGAATAAACCCTATTTTTATAATGTAACAACTGATCGTTGCTTTAAAAGCTTAATCTCTCTACAATAGGAAGAAAGAATATTTATAGTAATTCTATCTTTTTTGTAGCTGATAAGTAATGTCAAGAATTAGTGTTACTTGCTATTGCATGGCAATTTGCTGGTCATGGGTTCGAATCCCCATCACCGAACATGCTCGCCCTTTAATCCCACTGTTATTTGGTAAAAGAGTATCTCAAGAGTTGGCGGTGGGTGGTGGCGACTATCTGCCTTTCTTCTAGTCTATCACTGTTAAATTAGGGATGGCTAGCGCAAATAGCCCTCGAGTAGTTTTGCGTGAAATTCAAAACAAAACTACTTGCTATTATACTTTGAATTACGCCCTCTAGTGAGGGACTACATGTTGTTTCATAAATATTCAATACATCATGCTTAATAGGCAAAATAATTATTAATATTTAAAGAATAAAGACGCTAAACTTTATTCCAAAATGCAATTCGACATGTTAGAGGATTAGAATGAATATTTCTACTGACTTTAAAATATAACTATTAAATAGTTTCATATGTTAAAGTTTTCTCAATCTTTTATAACTTTGACAAGTACAAGTGCTTTTCACATTTCAAGAAGAAATGGAACCTTTATCTAAAATAATTTATATGGAATCTACAAACCAAGATTTTCTTCATTCTAGAAATCACATCATAGTCTGCTGTTCAAGAATCAAAATAAAATGACAATATCAAACGTAATTTTTCATGTAAGCTTCGAGCAAAGCGATTTTTAGATACAGAAAACACACCAGTATATACCATTTGAAAGTAAGAGTAAAGAAGTTATCATCTGACAAAAATCAAAAGAACATTTGAGACTCATATCCAAACACGTCCATTTCCGGCGTTTGTACCAAATTAGCTATACGATACACTTATACTGAATACCCATTCTCGTGTACATTATTTACCAAAAAGTAAACGAATCTTAGTATTTTTTATAGTTGCTTAAAAGAGACCATGTGTCAAGATGATGGAGAACGTGCAAATGGTCACGTGCGTTAAGACCTTCCTGCGTGGCTGTCTATGTCTACGCTGAAAACAAGATCAATATTTCCACAGAGAGAGAGGAGATAGATAGAGACACGTCCGTCAGTTGTTCACTGATAAGCTCTGGTCTAAACTCTACTGCAGGATCACCGATATCTTTCCTGGATTCTATGGTGAGCGATTAGTTTTTCCCAGTAACTCAGGTATATACGTATGTAGCCCGTTATATTTGTTTTTCAAATACATTAGCGATAAATACTTAAACTAAAATTAATACGAGTTGTAAATATAATTAAGATTTCGAAATAATTACATTCAGTTAACAGTAGTACAACATGAATAAGAAAACAGGATATAAGTTACATATCGGCAGCTGTCACAGTAGATGTTAAAGTATAATACATCTAAAAATATACATTAGAAGTGTATTTTGTACAGATAGAGATTGTAAAACGATACAGATCATCAAACATGATTTTATTTTATACCAGTGTTTGACAGATATCTGTTTTGAGAATGGATTTATTTCAAGCTAAATTATTTTGTACAAGATGACAAAAAAAATTTTTATTCAGCATTTTTCTTTTCTTTTTTTTTTTTTTTCACTTCTAAGTTTAAGTTTCATTATTCCTACACTGCCCAACTTTGATACGTCTGAAACTATTAGTTTCTCTGCATCAACATTGTCGAAACGCCAACAGAGGAAAAACAAATTATCAAACTCAAGATATATGCACTTATATTTCAGTAAATGGAAGAAACAAACTGTAACTTACTATATGTTGTATATCACTTGAGTATAAAACTAAAAATGTGAAACGTATCATTGATTAGAATCCTATACATATATATATATATATATATATATATAAATGAACAACACATCAGTAGTCAAGCAGACCTTAGAATGGAGAACGACAGATTTCAATGGAGAAGGATCACGAGACGTCCCGACCCCACATGAAGGGATTGAGTGGATAGATAAGAAGAATAAGAAGAACATTTCAACTGCTGTATTGTTTGATTCAATGTTTAATTCATTACTTAACAAATTGTGACGTATGTTTTACTGTAAAGCTAATTACAACTACTTTGTCATGTACAAAATAGGTTTAAAATTAACTGCATGATTCATACCGTTAAATACACGAGTTTTACAAGCAACGGATTACGTCACTAAAGAACTTTAAGTAGGTTTCCGTTACCTTCTTATTACCTTGCACACGGTGATAAGAATGTTCAGATCTTAACTGAAGCCAAAAAATTCTAAACAAATGCATAAGGCATCCCTATTGGAAATACCCATACGCCCAGGAATAGGTGATTAAAAGAATATCTTATAAAACAGTAGTTATTGATCGCTTCTGTACGTAATGAAATGGCTTTGGGCATAAAGCACTTTTGTAGCCTATAGTAAGTTAGTGAAGCCTTAAAACATTACGGTGAATAGATGTTTGAACATACATTTAACGTCATACAAGGAGGAGCATGCAGTTTTATTTGAATAGATGCTATGATTAAACAGTCATCCTTACAAACCCATTGTACAGGCATTGTGATGTACTTATATTGTGAAATTAAATAACCAAATATAAGGGGGGGGGAAGAGAATAATAAAAACAAAAGCAGAACTATATATCCAAAAAAGGCAGTAGTAGAAAGAACTAGGGATCGGAATTATAAAGCTCAATTTTAAAGCGCAGATAAATGAAAAAGTGACTTTTATTGTGGTTTCCTGACTGCTTTTCTTGAACTTTCAAAAGATTCAATCTAGGGTAAGCAAGTAAGAGTATTACTGGTATACTGGGAATAATTTTCGTAAAATATACAAAATTATCAAATTATGAATGGGGAATTTAGAAGAAGTGAGACATAATTACAGTTACGTTTTGATAGATAAAGTATCTGAACAGAACAGATGTAAATTATTCAAATACTTGTTTGTAGTTAAGTACAAAGCTACACAATGGGCTATCTGCGCTCTGCCCACCATTGGTATCGAAATCCGGTTTATAGTGTTGTAAGTCCACAGATATACCGCTGTGCCACTGGGGGCATATTCATATGAAATAGTCTTTGTATATATACGGAAACTGGTTTTTTGTTCAACATGTCTATAATTATAACTTATGAGTTGCGAAAAATAGTGTTTTTAACAAGCTAAAATATTTACCCTAAAACATCAACTAAGCATTCTGTTATTCCTACATTAAATCATTTGACGATAGACTACTTAACAAACGTCGATAGTTATTCCAACAGTAAATTATTTGACGATAGACTACTTAACAAACGTCGATAGTTATTCCAACAGTAAATTATTTGACGATAGACTACTTAACAAAAGTCGATAGTTATTCCAACAGTAAATCATTTGACGATAGACTACTTAACAAACGTCGATAGTTATTCCAACAGTAAATCATTTAACGATAGACTATTTAACAAACGTCGATAGTTATTCCAACAGTAAATCATTTGACGATAGACTACTTAACAAACGTCGATAGTTATTCCAACAGTAAATCATTTAACGATAGACTATTTAACAAACGTCGATAGTTATTCCAACAGTAAATCATTTGACGATAGACTACTTAACAAACGTCGATGGTTATTCCAATAGTAAATCATTTGACGATAGACTACTTAACAAACGTCGATAATTTCGACAAATTAATTCATAACTTTTTTCAGATTTTAATTCCATATATTTATTCTTGTGAAATCAGATTTTGTAATTGTTATTTTAAAATGTGATATACAAAAGTTAATATCTTATGTGATTGTTGTTATGGAGATGGCAAGTCTCTGGCTTTCATATAACTATTATCTGTGTTAAGATCAATGCATATATAGAATATTATTTCATTAAGAAAATTCTTTCAAAATAAAGCCAGATATTGTGCCAATTAGCAGAGACTCTGATTTCAATTCTAGTTGTTAAGTCAGTCAGATAGAGCTCAGTTGATTATTATGATCGAGTCTGCTTCCTGTGAGTTATTCAATTAATAGTTAAACAATAAAACTGGCGTTAAAATGAAAAATCCTCATATATAGAGCTTTAATGCAAAATGTGTTTGTCATCATGAACTGTAAATATGACATAAATATGAATTATTTTGTATTGGTTTATATTTTATGCGCAAAACAATAATAAATCCAGAGTACAAATTTAATTTGTAACTACAGGGGGAATACTTATATCAGGACTGATACTAACATTTACGGACATATTAATCCAGTGTTAGGTACATTTTATCTTTAGTAAAATCATTTTGTTCCACATTTAGTTTATAAAACCTTTATGTTAACCCCAAATTATTCTTAATTTTTTTGTTTAAGCAAATTATTCAAAAGCAAACTTTTATAATGATTGCTTAAGCCTTCTCGAATGTTTCATTATAAAAAAATGGTATATATAAAGATCCAAATAAAGTCCGTAAGTTCGATTTAATTTTCTTCTTGCTCCATAAGTCTAAAAAACATATTTTTTTTAAAAAACAAAAGAAAAATACCTTTTACCATATTTTTTCCACATGCGTCACAGAATCTAGCAAAATAATAAAAAATGTTCGTCCGTAATAATCTCCTCTCACACATGATGCAGTAAATGTATATACATGTTCATCCGTAATAACCTTCTCTCACACATGATGCAGTAAACGTGTATACATGTTCATCCGTAATAATCTCCTCTCACACATGTTGCAGTAAACGCATATACATGTTCATCCGTAATAATCTTCTCTCACACATGATGCAGTAAACGTATATACATGTTCGTCCGTAATAATCTCCTCTCACACATGATGCAGTAAACGTATATACATGTTCATCCGTAATAATCTCCTCTCACACATGTTGCAGTAAACGCATATACATGTTCATCCGTAATAATCTCCTCTCACACATGATGCAGTAAACGTAATACATGAAGATTACCGATCATGGAACTTATAAAAAATAAAGATCTTAACAAATAAATCACATAGAACCCGAACATACAATATTCATCTATAATAACGTATTGTAAATTTTCATCGATGGCCATTAAACTAAAATTTGAGAAAAAAAAACTTTTAACCTTTCCTGGATCATGTTAATTTTTCTCTCGATATTTTGGGAAGAAAATTGATTTTTATAAATTTATATTCGTTATTTTTTCTGACAATGCATAAAAAAGCATCTAAAAAGGAAGAAAAAAATGACTTGCTTTTTCTTAGGTGTCATTTACGAAATTAATTGGGATTGGTCTACGTATTAGTTAATCAATATATTGTAATCTATAATTAGATAATAATGTTAAGATTAGAAAGTTCGTTATCGAAAACATTGAATTGGCGAGTTTATGTAAGATGTGAGCATTAGGCCTATTTCATTTTAACAATGTTAGTTTTCCGTTATCTCCTAACTGAAATAAGCCTTCTTATCAACATTTAGAATTATTGACGTGTCTGTTAATTTTATTTTATTCTGTACTATGTGTTCAGCAGTATCTCTTTATATATATGTATATATGTGTGTGTGTACAAATTATAAGTCTGTCACCTATTATCAGCTGTTACGTGTGACTTGTCTAGAATCATTACCATATTTGAATGTAACTTCGAAGATATCTTAGTCCATTCGTTTAAAAGCAGAATTCCAACTAATTACTTCATATCTTATACTTAGTGATCATCTTTTACTTCACTGATACTTCAAAACTGGTCCTAAGTCAACCTGTCAAATATAGCGTGAAATTTCTTTTGTTTCTACTTGCATTACTTGCTGCACGCCTATAAGTGTAACAAGTTATGCATCGAAGAAACTTCAGGCTTTCGGGAAGATCGATTCCCTGAACATCTTAGACAAATTTAAAAGGAAAATCTTGACTTTCTCGTCTCTAAACACTTCATTTTTCACGGTACCTGCGTAGCTGGACTGACAGCGTTTAAACTGAAACACGTACCATACGACAGGCTAGAAAATTCATATTGAAACTGCGAATCATATAACCATTTTGAAATAACATATAATTTATATTCTATATTGTAATTTTTTTTTGTCAAACTATAAGCTAGCAGTCTTATTTGGCTTCGTTTGTTTGTTATGGATTTCGCGCAAAGCTACACGAGGGCTATCTGCACTAGCCGTCTCTAATTTAGCAGTGTAGGAAGGCAACTAGTCA